CCCTACCCCTCTCCTCCTCTCTCCCTACACGCACACACACACACACACACACACACACACACACTCCCTCTCTCTCTCTTGGCACATAGATGCCTCAAAAAGCAAGGAAATCACCCTAATGTACATACATCGCTCAGCCTCCCCAACTGGACGAGGAGCTGTAGTTTTGAAATGGTAGCAATACCCGCGCAGGCAAGAAATGCTTTCTAAGGTAGTGTGTTCGCACTGTAATTCCATAGCTTAGCACGTCGTATATGCCCTTCGGGAGGCGAGATGGTGGACTTTGTCCCTATTAACTAGACGTAAAATGAATACCAACCAACCAACCAACCAATCCTACTAATACACAGGTAGTGTTAGATTGCCTTAAAGTGCAGCTGCATACCCTACTAGTAGTACCTCTACCTAAAATACTATAGCAATCTAAGACACTAAGCAATATATACAAGTTTAGGTCTTAATCTAAGCTTGTAAGTAACTCCTTCTAATAATTACTAAGTATAGTGTAAGAGGGGTTCTTAAAGCTTATAAAAGGGGCTAAAGAGATGCTGTATAAAAATGTCCTTATTAAGGCCCGCGTGTAAGAGCTTAAAGAGCAATTAGCAGTAATAACTAAGAGAAAATCGCGTAAGAGAAAGCAGATTCAGCATGGTGGCACACTTAAGTATGGCCCAGCAGCATTGTGGGTAGCTGCTAAGGCGTGTGTAGCAGCTCAGCCATCTAAGAAGACTTAGGGTAGAGGTGGTTAACTAGGAGCTTAGTCAACTGTTCAGCGCTGTAGGAACTGCAGTAAGACTAGACACAACGCACAAACGTGCTAGGAGGGTATAGAAACATCTTCTAAATCTAATGCAAGCACGCAGTATGCTAGGTCACTGTTTAATAGCAAGTAGTTGTAGTTGTAGTAACTTGTGTTAGTTGTGCTAAGAGAAAATGGCTGGTTTGGTGATATGGCCGGCTCGGTTATAATCTACGTTACCTTGCGCATTATTCTTGCAGGTTTGTGTATTGTGCCCTACCTCACTACATGTGCCACAGTGTTAAAAAGACTAAGTGCCTAGTTTAACACGCCTCTTCTTGTAGTAGTCTGGCCAAAGGCCAATAAAGGATATCTACTTCCTAACAACTTTTGCTAAAAAGCATGCACAAGTTAACTAGACGTCTAGTTAACTTGTGCATGCTTTTTAGCAAAAGTTGTTAGGAAGTAGATATCCTTTATTGGCCTTTGGCCAGACTACTACATCAAGACACTGTGGCACATGTGGTGAAACAGGGCACAACGCGCGAACGTGTAGGAAAGATGCGCAGAGTACTGTAGATTAGTGCAATATACTGTGCAGCACAGTATACTGTTGTTGTGCACTGTAATGTTGCAAAGTAGTTGTAGTATTAGTGTGGTCTTGGCAAAACCTGGTCACATACTCAGGCTGGTCACATACCTGTGAGGTACGTTATATATTATCTCTTAACGTGGTTTGGATGTACGCTTGAACAGGTGTGTAAGCTAGGTAGGGTGGCTCACTCGCTTGCCTCGCGCATCCAACACGTTACGTTAAGCGGAATGCAAGAATTCTAGGGAGCATTGCCCATTACGGCGGCGATCGTTGCCGAGCGAATCAAAGCCTCCGTTGAGATAAGAGTCCAGCGCAACACGATGAGAACGTTGTACGCCAGTTTCGCAGATAGGTATTCGTGAGATGAGATGAGCGACAGAGGTCGCACCGAAGAAGTAATCACGTTTTTGGCCAGCGAGGCAAATCTCGACGGCTCGAGCATGGATGGCCGATAGGCGCTATCGTGGGTCAATGGCTGCGATTGAGCGGATCTAAGGCCAAAAATAGTCTAGACTTGATGATGTAATGATTCCCAGACCTTGTCGACTCGCAGCAAACATCCCTCGGCAACGCGCCCAGTGAGCCCCTCTCACTACGCGTTTGACAGCAGTTCGACCACAAAATTCGCTTGTCACGCCCCCTGCATCCCAAAAGTCCACCATGGGCCTCCTTGATCTCCCTCCCGAGATTATTGACTACATTCTCGACTTTGCAGGGCCTGCCGGTCTCGAAAGCTTTGTTCTCACGTGCAAAGCTGTTTATGAGCGCGCAACAACACAGATCCATGACCACAATTACTTGAGACGGCGATGGCGGCACACAAACAATCAGAGTAATTTGCGCCGTGGTGACACACTGAGTGTGCTGCACGAGATCTCGAGAAATCCCATCATCGCCGAGTACATCGAGACACTCAGCTTATGGGACCGCCGGTCAGACGAAGAGATCCAAAGTCAGGACGTCGTGGATAGCTTTCGAGACGACGGGCAAGCAATGCAGCAGATCAAAGCTCTTCTGCGTGATGCAGAGTTTTTCCGGGACGCAGATCTTGAAGATTGGTGGATTGAAATCGTGGAAGAGGACCAAGCCGTGGACATCGAAAGTATCGATAAGCTCTACGCTACCGTTGCTTTGCTTACGCTCCTGCCCAACCTCAAAACCTTGCAGTTGCCAGACAGGTGGCATGAGGTTCGCAGTGACGAGGCTGCCGAGTCGCTTGTTCCCTCAGTCGAAAGCTTGGTGACGATGTCTAACGTTAACACTTATAGACGAAGATGGCAAGCTCTGCAGTCCTTGGAGACAATTATGCCCTTCACGGAAGAAGGCTACGACGTCCGCGTGGGTCTCCAGTGCCTGCAGCCGTTCATGGCTCTGAACAGCGTCCGAAATTTGTATGCCGTGAGCTGTGTCGCTGTCGACGATGAATGGGGCGGCATTCCATTCCACTGGCCTTACGCAAGCTTTTCGCCTTTGACAAGGCTAGAGTTCGCTAGTTGCTGTATGGACGCTCATGGTCTTGACGCCTTGCTGGCCCACACGCCGGCCGTCACGACTTTCAAGTACTCTCATCAAACGAAATGGGATAGCTTACAACATGACTGGAATCCTGGGGAGTTTCTGCAAACACTGGCCAATCGACTTGGCAAGCAACTCCTCGATCTTGCCCTTACAGTGGATGAATTGCATGGAGATGTCATCAACGGTCTGTCTTCTTTCCACTCGTTTGCAGTTCTCCGCAAGTTGGAGGTTGACGTAATTCCTTTCTGTGGACCACCTCTCGAAAGCGGACAACGCCTTGGCCGGGATGCTTTCGTTCCAGAGGGCGCAGAAGCATGGACGCACGGCGACATTCCATGCTTAGGTGACATGCTCCCTAGCAGCATTCGCGAAGTTCATCTCAACACCGATTATCCGTTGCCATCCGAGCAGTCGCTGAAGTCGCTGGTAAAGAACGTCGTCGACCGACGCAAAGACAACCTACGGCACCTCGAGCGATGCATCATCAGGCAGTATCGGTCGAACACAGCGCAATTCATTGCGGACCGTCATGATATTACGCTCGAGGTGTTTGATATGGATATGGTGGATCCGAGAGCAAGGGCGATGATGCCATTGTGGAAGAGAGAATTCGATCGAAAAGTTGGCGGAATCGTAACGGGGCTGTCCAGCGGAAATTGAGCGACAGGAGGAGCAACACGGCTATATACCCGTTGTGTATTATGAAATCCTCCCGCGGAGCGCGATATCATATTCATCAGCATTACCTCTCCGCGGGTCTGGCCGCCTTTCCAGATCGATCGCAAATTGTAGCTTACTCCTCTGCGCTAATGCCATGGACTGCTGTCTTCAATATGGAAGGCTGATCGTGTCTTCCAATGCGTTCGTAACTTTGTACGTCTAACATCCTTTGCGACGATGTGGATGTGTGGTTTTGCCAGAAGACTGTACGTCATGTTCTGGCAATCGTTGCGTCATCACCCAGGTCACGATTCACCTACAACCATTCACCGAGTGTCTGCACATCCATTCGGGCAAGATGAGCTTCACCATGACCGGCTGCGCGACTTCTACAACAAATCGTGAGAGGGCGTGTTATCCACGATCCATAAATACACAATCTACGTAATCGGCGATTCGGATGTATAGGCGGACTACACCACCTTGATGACTTCGCGAACTTGTAGCCACACTTTTCGAGCCAGCGAAAAGCCAAAATCAAATCCTGAATATCGACAACGAAACGATCTCGTAACGTGTCAAGCTTAAAAGGTACACAGGCAAAAGTTGAGATAGATGTACTTGGCAAGGGGAGGATGCACGAGATCTGGGACGATCTGAATAAGGCACCCAGAAAACATGCCGAAGGCGCACTTCTAGTGGACTTTTGGTACCTAGTGAAAGGTACCTAGCGCAAAGGCGAACTCTTCAGACCCAAGAGTCAGGTCCACGACCACTTGTTACACGATCTGACGTACACCCCGTTCAAGGGCCACTTCAAAGCCAGATGTGCGGAGAAGCTGTAGATGAGCTAATCAGGAGAGGACGAGCTCAATTCCGGAGGTGATCTAGGCGATGATCACGAGTGGATAGACTACCTTAGCGCTCCCATCTGTGCGGTCGGTCGAGTCACGACATCAACCATAACTTCAAGTCACTGAAACGATGTGATTGGACAACATTCATAATCGAAATGTCACAGCCTTGTGCAAATATGGTAGTCTTCCAAATTCGGCTCCGGACCACGCGACACGATCCCCGATGCAGTATCTTGGTGACGTCAAGCAATGCTTCGTCAAGGCTACACCCACCTTGGTCCTGCATCAAAATGCTTGTCAACCCGACGAGGCTTGTTCTACTGAGAATTTTTGTTTACTCTCGCATTTTGCAGTCTTTGGGGTTCAATGTGGTCCTATGTCCAATACAAGCAAATTGGGAGAGCTGTTGAGCACGAGTGGCGACAACAACAATCGAGTCGATCAGCACACAATACGGAGACCAGCAGAAATGGCGATTTTATAGGATCGCAACAGTCCGACGCAACGCTGCGGGAGAATGACCCTAAGCGACATGCGTCTCAACAATCTGGCAAGAAGGCAGAGGGAAAGCAGCACGAGGATAGAAAAGTCATTGTAGATCTTCAGAGCAACACTGACCCAATCGACCCGCACAATTGGTCTCTCCTTGAACGCGCGCGGACAATGGCCATCCTGAGCATGCTGGTGTTTACGCAAGCATGGGCTGGTGCATGCGACTCCCTCGTTAACGGCAAAGCCAGCGCATGGTACCATGTAAGCCCTGTCGCTGAGGACCTCTCCACCGCGATGTACTTGTTCGGCATAGGTTCTGGTTGTCTCTTCGTCGGTCCACTCTCACAGACTCTTGGCCGGAACCCTGTGTATCTGGGGTTCACCTTGGTGTACTTGTTCTTCATTTTGGGAACAGCGCTCGCGAAAAACTACGCAAGTCAGGCCGTGTGCAGATACCTAGCTGGTCTTGCAAGCAGTGCCGCGCTCGGCATCAATGGCGCAAGTGTTGGCGATATGTTTCGCCCTGTTGAACGAGCGCTGTGGTTTCCAATCATCGCCTGGGTCAACGTTGTCCGTAAGTATCGTTCCTTGCAGAGCATCAGCAGCATCACTGACGCTCTCCAGCTCCCGTTCTTGCACCTATCGTAGGTGGATGGGTCGCTGAACACGACAACCTCAGCTGGCACTGGATTGATTGGATCACGTTCTTCATCTCCGCATTTGCCTTTGTAGTTGCGTTTTTCTTCCTCCCCGAGACCTACCTGCCAACGCTCCTCGACTACAAAGCCACACACCTGCGCCGCGTATCCGGCTCTTTGAAATACGTCACCAAACACAAACAGAACTCCAACTTCCTCACCATGATAAAACAAGTGCTGCCACTGTCTGTCAAGTTTTCAACAACCGAGCCAGCCGTCCTCTCTCTGGGTGGTTTCCTCGTCCTACTCTACATCATCCTCTTCACCTTCCTCTCGGGCTTTGAATACATTTTCAAGCGGCGTTACAATCTCAACGATCTCGAGGAAGGGGCATGCTTCGCTTCGATCGCTCTCGGCGCCACAGCTTTCTCACTCACCAGTCCCGCACTCTACAGCTGGACACGCCATTACACCGGGTATGCCGACCATGCCTCTGTTACTCCAGAGTTCCGCCTCTGGCCTGCGATGATCTCATCCCCTCTACTTCCAATCTCGCTCTTCTGGCTCGGCTGGACGGACTACAGCTGGATATCGATCTACTCGGGTCTCGGGGCGTGTTTCTGCTTTGGCATCGTGCTGAATGCGATGTACGTCAGTAGCTACGAGTACATTATTGACAGCTATGGGGAGAAGGCGAGTATTGCGCTGGCGAGCGTGACGATGATGCGGTATCTAATTGCGGGTGGGATGGTTATGGCGGCGAGGCCTATGTATGAGGCTATTGGTGTGCACTGGACGATGACGCTACTGGGATGTGTTGCTGTGGCCTTGGTGCCAGCGCCCTATGTATTGTTCAAGTACGGGAAGAGTTTGAGGGAGAAGAGTCCATTTGCGATTCAGGATGTAAGCAAGTCGTAATGCCTTCAGCGATAACTACACGGTGTCGTCAGCTTTACGCTAAGAAGCCTCACTTTGTCTCGTCGCTGCTCTGTCTGTAGTCTCGCTCAAATGGAAATGATGCTCCTTCATGAACCATCTGCAGACGTTGTAACACCTTCTGAGTCCTTCTTTGTAACCACGTGGCTTAGATCACATGACATCCTATTGTAGCAAGTACTGCCCGGTGGGCAAGCGCGCTTACCTCAGAGCTGTGAGCCCCTGTAACATCACATCACAACACGACAACAGCAATACACTCGTTGGTCACAGTCCCCGACCGACACTGCTCACGCAGTTACATTCTTCGATCACTGGAGTGTCGTATCGGTGATCAGCGTGCGACAGGAATGGCTGTGCTTGCTATTATTGTGTCGACACTGTGATTCGCTGTTCATCTTTCGTCGGAAGGGCCGCCGGTTCTGTTCTCTAGGTTATCCCTTGTATTGGAGAAGCGCCGAGCGGCGTGAGGAACTTCAATTGAGCAAACAACTTCGTCCCGGCGCAAGTGCGCGCTCATGATTGGTAGACCGGAAACTCACGACAATCGCTTGCGGGGTTTTGAAACTACACCGCTTGGAAGGTGAACCGAGGCTATCTATGACGTTCACTATTTTCTCCCTTCCTCAGCGAGATAACACTGTTTTTATAGATTTGTACCCCTTCATGCACACCTCCAAAGACTTCTTCGCATATTGACAGAATCATGAAAGGCGACCGGACAGATTCGCTTTTCACTCTGCCTGTCATTATAGCCACAATTGCGACATACTGGATCGTCGCCGTACTTTACAGCTCTTTTACCGCTCCACAGCCGCCTACATCAGTTCCATGGCAAGGTGGAAAAGGATGGATAGCTGGTCTGCGAAACTTCTTCGCATTGACGAAGAGCAAGGATTGGCTGGCAGCCGGGTACGAAAAGTACAGCAAGAACGATAAGGCCTTTGTCCTACCGGCTGTCTTTAGTGCACAAGCGGAACTCGTCCTACCGAGGTCACAGCTGAACTGGATGTTCGACCAGCCCGACCATGTTCTCAGCACGAATGATGCTCATTATGACCTCTTGCAGGGTGACTACGCTTTCGTAAAGCCCATCATCCTGCGCGATCCTTATCACGAACACGTCATTCATAAGAACCTCGTGCGTAACCTGAACGCTATAATACCAGACTTGGAAGAGGAGGTCCCGCCAACTGTGGATGCGGTCTATGGTACAGACATAGAATTCCGAAAGATCGATCTGATGAAGTCCTTCATGACGATGATCCCAAGGCTCACCAACCGCATGATGGTCGGTCCTACGCTTTGTTGCGAACAGAAATTCCTGGATGCAGTCCTGTCCTTCACTACCGATGTCGTTGGAATATTCTCGTTCCTGCCATTCGTGCCTAGAGCACTCCATCCTCTGATAGGCAATCTTGTGGGCTTGACTTCGAAGTACCATTACTGGCTGGCATCGCGGTTCACCCTTCCATTGATCAAGCAACGTCTAGAAAACATCAGAAGAAAGGATAAAGGCGACCCTGACTACAAAGACTGGAAAGAGCCGCGCGACTTCATCACATGGAGCTATCGAACTGCACAGGCCGAAGGCAGAACCGACGAGATGCAACCGGCCCGAATTGCGCAGCGGATCATGCCTCTCAATTTCGCCGCCATTCACACTACATCCCTTACAGCCTACGAAACAATGATCAATATTTTGAGTGCCTCCCCGAGTGTAATCGAGGGCTTGAGAGAAGAAGCGTCGCGAGTACTCGAAGAAGAGGGTTCCTGGACTAAGAAAGCCCTCGCCCGAATGCATCGGATGGACTCGGCCATCAGAGAGTCGCAACGAGTGTCACCGATTGCACTAACCTTCGTTGCTCGGAAGGTTGTCGCAAAAGAAGGCGTTATTACGCCGGAGGGCGTGCACGTGGGCTGCGGCACTATAATCTCGTGCCCGTGGACCCCGATAGCTCATGACGAGGAGTTGCACAGTGGGTCTCTCGGGTTCGATGCCTTCCGGTACTCGCGCGCAAGGGAGGAGTTTGACACGATGTGTCCAGACCAGAGAAAGAAGGTGGATACACTGAAGCTGAAGCAAACCGGGCTGGTGACTACGAGTAACCAACACCTGCCGTTTGGGCATGGAAGACACGCATGGTACGTATATGTACTTCTCAGTTTCCGAAAAGCGCTGATACTGGCCACCTGACAGTCCTGGGCGATTTTTTGTTAGCCATGAGCTCAAAATGATTTTTGCACATCTGCTGCTCAACTACGATTTTAAACCGCTCAAGGAGAAGCCGAAAAAGCTATTTGTGGCCAGGACGAAGATCCCGCTGCCTGCTATCATCGAGTTTAAACGCCGCAAGTCGGTCTGGCAGAAGCCAGCACAATAACGCGCCTTGGAAACAGAAATAATGATACAGCGAGGATTAAGAAGGAGTTGATATATCATTGCTGAATACCTCCAGTCATTCGCATTGCGCCATTCACTTGGTCCATTTGTCAAGCAGGACGTCCACTATATCCCTCGGGCCCATCCCAGCATGGTTGAGCTTCTGCTTCTTCGTTGTAGTACCACTGCTGAGTGCAAATCGACGCCGATGCAATCACTCTGACACTCATCCTAGCTAGCTGTCCTCAAATGTGTGTCTTGTTTACCATTGCAAAATGCCCTTTCTATTTTTGACGACGAAGATCTCGTTTCTAGCGTCACTTCTGGTAGAGTAAGGCCTTTTGGTAGGGGCTGTACATTCATCGAAGCATCAATGTGGCGAAGAACGTATACGCATGAGAGAAGCAGGTGTGATAGGCGTAGCACCTTGATTGCTCTGCGCTACCAGATGTTGGCGGCTGAAACTCGGTGAGGAGTGGCTGCCTAAGCGCTGGCTGAGGTCGCTTGAGGAAGCGGACTCTGAGCTCAAGACGTCCACCGAGTGCGACGGTACCGCTGGCTGCAAGGAAATCATTTCACCAGACATTCTTGGGGCGAGGTTAGTGACCGCGGACTCTGCTAGATCTGTTGCGGAAATTCGATATGGTGCTTTCGGCTGCATCGAGATTGTATTCTTCCGTCTGCCAGGATTCACAATGGGCGACTTTTGTACGCAGTCCGTTGGTATTGTCCCAGTCAGATCCTTCTTTGTTCTGAATCTTCTATGCTCTGCCGGCTGGGCTGTATCGGGCTTGCCCAACAAATCAATGTAAACATTGATTGGGGAGTGTCCTGTCGCGCTTTGAGAGTGCGTATTGAGTACGGGTGACGTGAGAGGGCTGAAATAAGCGCCGGGCACTGTAAAATCTGGGATTTGAAATCGTGCCATGTCACCCATAAGAGGATCAATGAACGCACTGTTCGTCTGCGATGTTTTCAGTACTGTTGGAGCGTACGTTTTACAGGGGCATACTGTGACCACGTGGCTTAGATCACACGATATCCTATTGTAGCAGGTAGTGCCTGATGGGCAAGTGCGCTTACCCCAGAGCTGAGAGCTTCTGGGACAGAACATCACAACACGACAACAGATAGCAATACAATCGTTGACCACAGTCTCCGAGCGACACTGCTCACGCAGTTACACATACCCTGTTGTAATTCACATCTGGAGGCTTCCCGCTCTCTGCAGTCCTGCTGTCGGATGCTTGATCGTGCCATCCCGTACACTCATACTCGTCAGCCTGCTTGTCGTACTCTTGCTCTACACACCAGTCAGCCTTGAATTACAGACTCGTGTACCTAGAGTATGCACGGAAAGATAGGGGCCAACCTGCCTAGCTGGTTCATGTGGTTCGAGTATGGGGTTCCGTAAAAAGAGGAAGGATCACTGTTCTGAGTCACGCCATTTCGTTAAGACTAACAGCCGTTGGGAGTGGTATGCAGTCCGACGTCGTCTTGGGTCTTTGAACGAATGGTCGGGATCCCAAATTGAAGATGCTGGCCCCAGATGGTCCCGAGGGCATGTAAATATCGTTCCAAGAAGTTTGTGCCTCAGAGAATGGCTTCGTCGGCCCTACAACCGAGTACGTTCGGAGTTGGTCACCTCTGGCAGATAAGTTGGCGTTCAAGTGCTTGATATAACCGACCGCACTTTCGATCTGCGCTGCCTTCGAGATGTTAGTATAATCGCCCCGTTCAGGATTCACGTCAGTGGTTGTGTTCCGATTTGGAGATACGAGATTTTGCAGCTCTTGCAATGCCGTGTTGATGTGATTGCGGCGACCTTGTTCAGCAGATTTATGGGATGTGGGCTTCGAAGTGAGTTTCGTAGACAGGCTTGACGGGTCTGATGAACTGGGTACAGTGTTACCATCGAGGATACTCTTGTAGCTCATCTTCGAGGCCAGGAGAAGAGCGTTCGCTTGACAAATGAGCATCTGTCGCTGTCATATTTATGCTGACATACCTGATTGTTTAGGTTGTTTCCTCGCCGGGATTCTAGGCTGAATAGCAAGTTTTCTTGTAGTGGATGTCCTGTAGTAATTGATTTTTGCATTCGATGTGTTGATGCTGTCAACGGAGGTTTTGTGCGGCTGTAGAGCCGCTGTATGCGCCTTCTGCTTCGATTGGGGTTGACTACATCATTCAGGGTGATCTGCATTTGTGTAATTTGGCGGAGGGGCATTTGCGTTTGGCCCGCGCACCTTGCGAGCTCGTCGGTGCCCATCTGCTCGCTTTCCTCATCAGAGCTCATCGACTCGGCGTCCAACGATTCTGATGCAACGACTGCAAGCGTTTTCATGGCCGCTTCATTCGATCGAGTTTGAATATTGGGTACAGGGTTCTCGGCCACCGCACTGAAGACATGCAATGGCCCTGCTTCCTTTGTTCACGTGCACGAAGGCGGATTCGTGTCTTGAAGGGTGGTCTCGTCGTCCAATTGGAATTTAGAAAGTTTGATCTCGAGCACCCTGAGGATCTTCAGTGAAGCCTGTTGTTGTTGATGCAACTCGCGCATATTGTTCCGCTGTTCCTCGAGGGATGCCTTTTCCACTTCCCTGTGACGTTCATCAGTCAGATAGGCGCTGGTTGATCGCAACCTATCACTACCATTGTGCCTGACTTTGTGGAAGCTGCAAGACATAGAATACTACCAGTAAGCTGCTCTTTAGAGTCTCCAGCCGTCTGCACAGCAGCTCAACCCGCAGCTCCATCATTGGCCAGCTCATCTTGCCCATCAGGCTGAGACGCTTCCTGCCATATTTTCCCACCTTTCGTCTCTTCTCAACCACGGCCAGTATCTCTTCGAAAACCTCGCCGCACTGTCCCAGAAGATCTCGCGCATGCTTGACAGCATCCTTTGATTATATTCACGACGTCATCAGCCTCAAGCACCTTACCCACATTGGCAAGGACTCCAGAGGTTATGTCAACGTCCCGGGCGATTGTCGTGATGTCGTGGTCAGCTCGCGCGGCAGTGCTGATGAATAAGTACAGCTCCTTGGGGAGCTTGGCGCCGCTGCCACCGATCTGGATGATGCTGGCCGCAAGACCTACGACTTCTGCATGGACTTATAGCATCAATCAAAGTATGCAGAGAATCGAGAAAAAGTGCATCAGGCTGTTTTGACCTGGCAGGGTCCAGCTGAATTCGAGAATTTCTAATACCCAAGGCACGGGGGCTGAGCACTCGTCAGCCACCACAACACGGTCCTGGGCGCATCACCCAGCATACCAGCACCGAGTTCCATCGCATCCGTGACGACGAAACGACATCTAGTGAAAGGTTGTAACAAAGGAGTTAATCTATGAGCCAGGGTTAGTTGTGTCTCTTGTATTAAGCAAATGGGCGCAAAAGGTGGGAAAGTTCTCCGAATATGCACTAGCCATACCGGTACGGTATTGAGCTTTCCTCGAACATGCAGAGATTATTAGGATAGCCTGATTGAGCCTTGGTGGCGATTGGGAACAGGTACACTGACTGTCTTGATCAACTCTTGCAAGAAGTCATGCATTGGAGTCGAACGTCCAGGACTACCACCTTCTCGCTGTCACGCCTTACTACCGGCGCTTACGGCACGTTTGTGAAACACGGGACGTTGTGAATTACGCAAGCCGATTATGCAATCTTTTGCAAAGCAGACATCTCAAGACCGTCTCCATAGCGCTTGCTACCCATACGTTTCCTTCTCTCAATGACTCCCCCCATGGCCCCTCCAAACTCCCGGCATGGTCCATTGTCCATGTCCTGGCGCCCTACTGCTCCATCTCTCAAGGCTCATGTCGTAGTATGGTGCGTTGCCCAACTTACCCAGGGTATCAGCAGTGAGACGTTGCGTAGACGATCTGCCCTGCTCAAATGCTGCACGAATCCGCACGCCGCCATTACGGCGAGCATCGTAACGGTACGAGTACCCGGAATAAGGATAATCGAGCATGCTCCAAGGGCGATTATGATCGAAGCCCCATCCTTGCGCCATCTCGTTGTAACCTGTTCCTGGCATTATGGTTTTTTGACTGTCGTTTTATCGAGTAGCTGGTGATGCGCGGGTAAGCGTTTTGCACTGTCGATGAGGCCCAAGGAAGATGCTGGAGGCGCATATATGCACCTTAGTGGTCAAGTATGATTGTAGGTATCACAGAAAGCGTGTCATGGTATATGAGAGTAGGCGTTCCATAGTCGCGAGCGCAAGCTGCACTGGGAGATGTATTGGTGTGAAGGGATCGTCGAGGACGGTAGGAGATAAGGCGACAACGAAGTGGTGGCCGGTCAATCGACTTGCTTGTGGCCAGAAATATGAGGCTAAAATGTGGTGAATTGCTTCCCGCATACTGGTGCGTTGTTGTGCTTGCAGCCGATCGTGGCAACTTCAAGTGCGAGTGTCAGATCATCGACTCGAACGTGAAGACACTCCTACATCATGTCATGCTTGGCAGCCGCCATCTCCCAGTCCGTAAGATGCACACTTCATCGAGGTAATCCCTCGCGGAATGGTGATGTGGATTGTTTGGATCTTGGCTTCCTTTCGTCCTCGCTGGCAGAGCTATGACGGTGCCGTCGAGGGTCGCGGTTATTTCCACGGCCTTCACTGCTGTGATCGCGGCGATGGCGCTTGTCTCTGTCTGCTGAATCATCGCGATGTCCTGACTTCCTGTGACGGCGACCATCGTCAGAGTCCCTGTCACGGCTCCTGCTACGGCCGTCCCTACGCCGTGAGCGGCGGTCGTGACGGTCACCATCCTCTTTATTCTTAATTCTCTTCGTATCTCGATCCTTGTGGCGGTTTTTCGAGCCCTCCCTTCGGTGGCGTCTCTCATGTCTGCTCTTCCTCTCCTTCTCCTTCTGCATCTTGCGTTTCAATTTGTCAACGGCCTCATCCACCTTCTCTTGCTGTTGCTTTATCATAGAGTCGCGCATGGGGTCGTCAAGATCCAGCTTTTCCGTAAGTCGCTCGAGCTCCATCTCCTCCGGCAGTAGTGGCCTTTCATCCTCGGAATCAGTCTCCTCGCTTTTTCTCCGCTTCCGCCTGCAACCATCCGAGTCGTTACCAGCGTCGATACTCACGTCGCCCATAGTATTGTCCCTCATATCTTCGTCGTCTCTGGACTTATACCGTGCGTGGTCGACCCTGATTACACGGTCCATGATGGTTGCGCCACCCAAGTTATCCACAGCCAAATCGCAGCTTCGCTGGTCCTCATATTTGATCCATGCAAACCCACGTGACTTTCCTGTCTCTTTGTCGCGCGCAAGTTTCACCCACACAGGCTCGCCATACTGTGAGAAGATGGTGATGATGTCACCCTCCGAGAGCTCGAATGCAAGACCGCCGATGTAGATGAAGGCTGTGTCGCGGTAGTCGGTGTGCCAGGAGCCTTCTGGGTTGATGCCGGCCTCGAGCTCGCGCTTGTTGAGCTGCTGGATCGCGCGCACTGAGTTCATGGCGACAATATGGGCGACTTCGTATTGGTGAAGGTGTCACGCAGTGCTGTTTGTGAACTTCTAATGAAGCTTTGTGCTTGGCAGATGCAAGTCGCGGGACCCCTGCACAAAAGGCGCCGAACCAGCAAAGAGCTGCCAGACCAAACACACTCCACAGCACCCCCACATCGCATGTTGACGGCGCGTCGCAACGCTCCTTCCTCTTCCAGTTGCATTGTTTATCCTTCAATACACGGTTGACATATCACCAACCTCGCTAGACATAATAGCACGACCGCCTAAAGTCCGCAGCACCTCCGGTCTCCGCAATGGCCAGCGCGCGTCGAATCTCAGGGTTCCCCACGCGTACACCGGGCAGCAACGACCGCCCGAGCAGCCGAGACACAAATAAGGAGGAGATATGGAAGCCTATGCTGGACAGTATCTCGAGCGGCAAGAAGATGCCAGAGAAGAGCTTGCTTGTACTAGGTGCGCTGCCCTACAAGACTCGCAGCGGTGAAGGCTAACGGAGGGATCAGGTGGAACACCAGAGACACAACGAGAGTTCCTCGAGTCGGTATCAACAGATGGGCCGAATGGAAGAAGACAGCAAGAGCGGGGGAAGAAGCCACCAATCGCGAATCAGTTTGCGTTGGGTTACACATACCAGGACGTACTCGATACAGATCATGAAGGTGAGGGGCTTGCTCTCGATCACTAGTCCTCAAGATGCTAATAGTCCTAGACACCCTCGCTCGTCTTTCGCTTTACCTCTTAGCCAGCCCTTCGCCGTCATTCACACCTCTCATTCAGCCCTACCTGAACCCTCGGACGATCCCAAACATGCTCGTTGTTATATTGCTAGACTGGAACCATCCCTGGTTATGGATACGGCAGCTGCGAGACTGGATAAGAGTGTTACGAGCCCTCATGCTGTCACTTGACGATGCCTCGAAGGATGCACTCGAGGAGAATACAGCGATACTGCAGGCTAAAGGGCGCCATTTGGGTGGGGAGGGAAGCACATCGATGGAGGACGTAAAAGTACCGCTGGGGAAAGGCGAATGGGACGAGACACTGGGATTACCACTCTGCGTCGTGTGTCAGAACGCTGACAAGATCGAATCCTTGGAAAAGGAGCGTGGATGGAAAGAAGCAGAGTTTGACTTCATCCTGCAGTATCTGCGCACGATCTTGCTAAAGCATGGTGGTAGCATGATTTACACGATGCCTTCGGCGCCGGGCTCGCTGCAGACGCTCGTTCACTCGACACTAGGCATCAAGTCACTCCTCAAACAAGACCAGCTCAGACACAACGTCACAGATCGAGATCGAGTATTGGTACCGCCGAATTGGGACTCATGGGCAAAGATCCGCATCTTGGGAGGCAACTTCGAAGTGGAAGAAATCAGCGAAAAATGGAGCATCGACATTGATGTGCCTCGAGAGCGAGCCCAAAGCAATGGCGAACAAGCAGACGCTGAAAAAATGGAGAGTGCAGGGGGCTTGATGACACCAATCAGTCAGCACGACGATGACGATGCCGATTCAGCAACTGCAATCTACGAGAAGGAGATCAGGGACCCGGAATCCGACTTCCCAGTCTCTGCACTATCGAAACAGGCCAATGGTATTGAGGTCTCGAGCACAGATCCCCAAGTATTCCTCACAGAGCAGGCTCACATGCTCGAACAATTCCACAGGGAAGACGAGAAGGAAGCCGCTGCCAAGACAGCGCGCAAAGAGGCAGACCCTGCGGCAAGAAACTGGCTGCCAGCAGGTACGAGCAGCGAGATCGATTCTGGCGTCGTTGAAGAGCATATTGGACCTGTTCAATTCAACATGGGTGGCATTCAAGTGAATGCTGATGAGATGGTAAAGAGGCTGCAAGACCGCGAGGCGAGTCGCTCCAGCGAGCCTAAAGCAACAACGCCAGACGCAACGGATCCAAATGCCATGAGCAACGACAAGCTGATGTCATTCTTCTCTGGTCTCATCAATAAGGGCGCGAGCAGCCCTGCGAGAGGCACATAGATGACATTATCATCTCTCGTCATTAGTTCTTGTTTTGTTGCACGGTAGGGATCTCTTGTCTACATGGTTATATACCCACAGCGTAGTCTGCCTTGCAATTGCACCTGTCACAGTCCCTTGCATTTGCCTGCCATCGCTGCGCGAGGGCGCCGCTGCGAAGCAGTGCCCGGAGGGTTCACGATGAATGTGAGGCAAGCGTGATAATCAACATACACCACATAACCGTTCTTGATGATTTCGTGGAAGTTAGAACTTTGCGGCTAGAGTCAACCTTCTCCGCGCATCTTCCCTGACCTTCTGCACAATGTCACCCGCGCCCTCCACTTCTTTGGCAAGACCCACACCAGTACCTGCCCAAATTGCTGCTCTACCCTCAAGCCCCGTCTTCCAACCAAGATCGTCCTCCTTCAGCGCCTCGTTGTGCTTCTTCTGTATCTCCTCCAGGCTGACACCCTCCACGTACTCTTTGTGGCTCTTGATCACCAGGCTCCTTCCATCGTAGACCGCCGGCCAGATGTTGGGGCCTCGCAGCTGATCAAATAGCTTACTTCTTGTGGTGACCTGGCCACCATCCTTTGCTTCTACAATACTGGCCTGCACGACAGGATGCACCAGCGCCTCTTTGCTCGCGAGGAACCGCGTGCCCATCACCACACCCGCAGCGCCCATGCTCACAGCCGCGGCGACCCCGCGATCGTCCATGATGCCACCGCTCGCCAATAATGACACCTTTAACCCTACTGCTTCGAGTGCATCTGCTGTCTCAGGTAAGAGTGAGATGATGCCTGCACCCTTCTCAAAGCCGTGACCGCCTGCGTCTGCACCTTGTAGACAGATAGCCTCTGGTTTTGCTTGCTCTGCGATCCGAAGTGCTGATTCAACGCTGCCAGCCTGCACCCATATCTTACTTCCTGGTGATGCCTCGCGCACAGCTTTCGCCCATACAGCGTAGTCGTCTAACTCTTTCGCAGCGAACAGCCAGACCACAGCGGGCTTGTACTCCTTGACTACCTCCAGCGCAGACTCGAGCTTCAATGCGAATGGCAAGAAACCAACGCCCAGAGGCAATGTTTCAGAGTGGGCGTGCTGTGTTCCTGCAAAGGTCTCTTTCGCAATGCCGAGTTCGCGTCTGGTGATGCCCATATCCACTTTCGAGCCGATGAGACCGAAGCCACTAGCAAGGGTCACAGTTGCTGCAAGGAGACCTCCAGCATTATCAGCCATGGGTGCATTGATGACGAGTGGCTCCCTGATCCATGGAAACTGATTCTTGAGGGCTGTCATGCTGCCTAAAGTTGTGCAATTGCAATAACGAGTTTGAAGCTGAAGTTACGGGGCGCATTGGTGGATTCGAGATGTAGAACGCACGGAGGCCAGCACGCCTGCGTCGTCCTTCATATGTGTGGTCCAGCCAAGAGAGGACGTTGCAGGCGGAGGTAAGCGGCAATCGCGGGGAAGCATAGTGAGCAGCTTAGTGTCCCGTGCATGATAACCCGGCTCACGCACCGTGGCAATGGATGATGTCAGGCCGATTACAATAATGGTCGGTCGAACGGTGAAGATAAAATCTGGCTCGATGTCGCGGATGTACTACCGGTAACTCGGGCGCGCGGGACCGTCTTCTACAGATAATTTAGGCTTCCTTAATAACGTGGCAACACAAAATGTCATTTGCGATCGAAGTGCCCCTGCGTGAAAACTTGAAAACAGAGATACAGTGTACATCTGTCCACACTGCACATCCCATCTGACTTAATATCCCCTTGACTACGGTGGGGCAGATACAAATGCCCCACCCTCTTTGCATCAGCCTGGCTTGAGCTCGTAGCAGACCTCATCATTCCAAACCTCAACAATATTATGAGCACTAGTCCGTCATGGATATATTTTATATTACGGTAGTAACCATCATCGATTCAATAACAACGGTTCTGTGGTGTAGTTGGTTATCACGTTCGCCTCACACTCATCGTGAACGCGAAAGGTCCCGAGTTCGAACCTCGGCGGAATCAAAATCGTTGTTTTTGTCGGCCACTTTTACTGGAATAGACAGAGTCTGTTCTTCAGATTGCGGTAGTTCAAAAGTACATGTTCGGGCGGCCTGGGGTGACTCTTATTTTGGTGGTTGCACCCTTCTTTTTTGCTGTGGGGATCGCGCGACGCCAGAGACTGCGAGCGATAGACATGACCAGCGACGTGATCATGAGCACATTGTAGCTATAACGTGGTTCACAAGCGAGTCGCTCACCCAAGTGAGTCGTCCACCAAACACCCGCGCCGCGCCTACGCAGCAGTGCAGCGCAGCACTACAATAAATTACAATACTACACATAACATTATAATATTATTTAGAAGCATTGCTATTATCTATAACGTACCTCACGGGCTCGTGGATCACCCGGGCTTGTGGATCACTTTTGCCAAGCCCCCACCAAAGCCACCCCATTCTGGCGCAAAATAGCCCACTTTGGCCCTGTATAGTACAAAGCAAGATGCGATATCATTCAGAGTCTACTTCTACTACCTTCTGGCAGGTACGCGCATTATGCCCAGTCTCTTTGCACTGTGTACACTATTATTAAGATAGTTCACCTACTTTAGCGCGCACCTGCCTCTTTAGCTTCTTCCTATTACTATGCGCCCTAAAGTCCTTAAGAGCAGCTAAACAAGCCCTATCCTTAACTATTAAGGTCCCCTCTACTTAAACCTACTTTCTTTTGTGCAATCTACGTTGTGTAGCAGCCTTATTTACCACTTAAAGCTCTACAATCTCCTTTTGTACCAACACTAGCTTGTGCGTGATAATTACTGCTCCCTTTAAGACCTTCTTAAAAGCCTCTACTATAGACGTTAGTAAGCTATCTACATGCCTCTAAATCCTTGCCTTCACAAGTGTTAATTACAATCCTAATTTAAGGGTATTGCTTAGGGTTTGCAACTGCTAGGGCTTATTGCTAGGGAGTAGTAGTAATAGAGTACGTAGCTAGACATTAAGCGCTATTATAACCTGTTCTAGGTTAAATAGGACTAATCTAGCGCCTTAAAACCCTCCTTAGATATTACTAGGAGAAATTACTGCATTATAGGCGCGTATAAAGCATAGTAAGAACTTAAGCTTTGTGATGTAGGTAATCTAGTTGCGCATGAGATTCTTAGCTTGGCAGCCATACGCTGTCTTTAAAGGCAAGAAACACCCTACATCAAGAGGCTGCAGGAGGTGTGATGAGTGTGGAGGCATGCAGATAGTAATAATCTTGCTCTCCTTGCAGTATTCCTAGAAAGCGAGCGAGTTATGGCTCTCATGGCCGTCAATTGTAAGCAGTTAGTGGCTGCTAACTACTCTCTTCTTTGTATGCTTATTAAAGTACTTTAACCTAGACTGGCGGATGGGTACCATGTACCTAGGGTAGGATATAGGTAGGGTATAGGTCGCACGGACGTAGGTATAGGTAGGGTAGGGTCGCACGGACCATAGGTATAGGTAGGGTAGGGTCGCACGGACCATAGGTAGGGTAGGGTAGCACGTGACTGGGTATAGGTATAGGTAGGGTAGCACGTGCTAGGTATAGGTTTGGTTTGG